CGTGCACCTGCCGGGGGTGGCCCCGGGGTCCCGTTGACAGCTGCACAACTGCTGAAGGTGGGCAGCGGGGGCGGGACGCGCTCGAAAGGTGCCCAGATTGTGGCCGCGGTGGGCACGGTGAGGTCAAGGGCCAGGAAGTCGAAGCCAAAGTCGCAGTCCTCGGGCGCAGGAGTCCCTGTGCTGTCCCCGGGGAACGTGAAACCCCCACTGCCGGAGCTGCTGTAGGGGCTGGCGGGGCCTGGGTCTGGCCCGGGCGGGCCTGCTCTCGCGCCCGCATAATAGGCGTCGGGTGCCCCCAGGGCACTGTCTCCTCGGAGGCCGACGGGGGCCGTGGCTGTGGGGGGCCGCCGCCCCGGATGAGGGGCTTTAGCCCAGAGTCCGGTGGCGGCGCCCAGCAGGTCCAGGCAGACGTCGGTGCCATTGGCGTGAAAGTCACTGTCAGGGCCCGAGTCTGCGAAGGCACCGGTGCGCAGCGTGATGTGCGCCTCGATCTCCTCGCGTGCGCGGTCCACGTTCTCGGGCATCCCCGTCACAGCGAACACCGGCTCCTTGTCACGCCCGGGAGTCACGATGTATGTGTGTGTCCGCTGCTGGATGCGCTTGATGGTGGCGCCCTTGGGCCCCACCACCAGCCCCACCACGCGGTAGGGCACGCGCACCTGGATGGTGGTCTGTCCGGGCAGGTTGGGGGGGCCCTGGGCGGCGCCTGGCAGTCCCCCCGCCTTGCCGCGAGAGGCCCGGATCAGGGAGAAGTGCTCGGCAGCCGACAGGATCTCGCGCTTGGCCATCTCCACATCCTCTTTGCGGCCTGTCACGATGAACACCGGCTCCTCCCCACGCACTGGCGTCTTGATGTATGTGTTTGTCTTGGCGCGCAGGGCCTTGATCTTGCAGCCTGTGGGGGGAGGCAGGGGACACGCTGACACCCTGCCCAGGACAGTCCCGCAGGAGCCGGCCGCAGGGCCAGTGGGTGCGCGCAATTCAGAGACCCCAGCTGTTTATCCTCCTACCCCGAGCCTCAGAAAGCAAGAAGGACCCTGTGGTAAATCCCACATAATTCATGTCCGGCCAGAACTTCAGAAAGTGACTGCTGCTGTCAGAACGAATGTAACTCTCACCTCTCCCAGATTCAGAGACAGCACAGTGATACCAAGTGTGACGCGATTAAGAGGCAGGGCCGCGGGAAGTTAGACAGGGGGAGCCACCTCCTGAATACCATGAGCGCCCTCATGAGGCGCCAGGTGGCTCCCTCACCCCTTCTAGTATGAGAACACATAAAAGGTGCCATCTAGCCAGGCACAGTGGCACAGGCCTGTCATCCCACCACTTAGGAAGGTTGAGGCAGGAAAATCACAAGTTTGATCCCAACCTGGACAACCTAGCCAGACTTTGTCAAGAAAAAGGGAAAAAAAAAAAAAATTGGGCCGGGGATTTAGCTCAGTGGAGCCGCCCTGGTTTGATCCCTGGTACAGAGAAGGGGAAAAAAAATTCAAGAAAACCACGCACGCCTGTAATCCCAGCACTCGGGAGGGTGAGGCAGGAGGGAGGATCACTGTGAGTTCGAGACCAGCTTGGGCTACATAGTGAGTTCCAGGTCAGTCTCAACTACAGAGTGAGACCCTGTCTCAAAAAAACCATAAACAACCAACCAAACAATCAAAAAACAAAACAAAACAAAAAAAATTAAAGAAAGGCTAGAACTGTATGAAAGCCCTGGCTTCAATCCCCAGTACCAAAGAGGGGTAGGGGTGCAGGAGGAAGAGACAGGCAGAGAGAGAGAGAGACAGAGCAGCAGCAGCATCTATGAGGAAGGGGCCCTCAGAGATGCCAGATCCGCTAGTGCCTTGATCCTGGACTTTCCAGCTTCCAGAACTGTAAGGTACAACACCTTTCTGCCTTTGCAAGTTACCCAGCAAAAGACACTGTTACAGCAGCAGGAAGTGACAAGGCTGTGACAATATATGGTCCGTTGCAGGTGTCATCAGTTAAAACTCAGTCATATTGTATGGGGTAGAGCGGACATCAAACACAGCAACACTGAGTTTTCAAAAGAGACCAGATATAGCCAGGTGATAAGAGTGATGGGGTGGCATAAACAAGAGTGACATGGGCCGGGGATTTAGCTCAGTGGTGCTGCGCCTGCCTCGTAAGCACAAGGTCCCGAGTTCGAGTTCGATCCCCAGAATAACAACAACAAAAAAAGGTGACAACACTGCCTGGAGCTGGAGCGGTGGGAAGGACCCAGCACGCCCCAGGCCTGCCCACCCTGATCTCCAGATGTGAGCAGAAGCCTCAGATCAGCACGGACCCTCGGCCCCAGGTTGGGGCATCACCTGCAGTTCTCATGACCAGAGGACCTCGCCAGGCCCCAACAGCCGAGGGGACCTGGAGTCTCCGTCTGCCCCACGGCACACTCCTGGGCCGAGCCTTGGCCACCTCCAAAGGCCCAGGTGGGTCCCTGAGGGTCACTGGGGCTGCCCCTCCAGACTTAGGAGGGCAGAGAGGCCCCCTAACCCAGAGGCTGTTTCAGTAATTGGGGGCCGGGTGGTGAGAGTACAGTGTGGCCAAAGTCTCCAGAAGGAGCAGATACAAAACTAGGAAGATCTGTTTTTCTTTTTCCCCAGTACTGGCGATGGAACACACACACACAGCCTTCACACAGAGCCACACCCCCAGCACCAGAGCTCGAACTCAGAACCTGGCGCTTTTGGGGTCGGCGCAGTGCCACTGAGCTAAATCCTAGGCCCTCAGCTCTTTATTTTCAGAAAGGGTCTCACTAAGTTACTAAGTTGCTCGGGCTGGGCTCAAATTTGTGATCTTCCTGTCTCAGCCTCCCAGAGTGCTAAGATGACAGACCAGCACTTTTGATAGAGGTCACAGAGACCAGGTCAGGAAGACAGGGTGGTCCCAAGGGCTCAGCAGAGGAGGCAATAGGATGAGACAGAAACACAGCAACCCCTTCACGGAGGGATCTGAGTGGGGCTGGGATGGTGGTCACATGTGTCCTAGGAGGCTGGCCAACATTCCTGCCCTGTCCGGGTCCTGGCTACTCACCTCACACCCAAGTCCTCCCCAACTTTCGAGTGCTAAATGAGCTGTCACTGTCACCCAAGCCTACCCAGCACCTCCCCCTCATGAACTGCTCCACAGCCAGGCAGGTGCCAACAGGTGAAAGGTGGGGGCTCCTGAAATGGGTCACCCTAGACTGGGGCTCCAGGATGGCTGGGCTCTGGCTGCTGGGTCCACTGTGAGGCTCCCTGACCCAAGTCCACTGACACCCAACCTAAGAGGTGGCCAGGACGTCACCTGGGCCATAATATCAGGGCTCCAGAAGTGAGCCTGCCATATCCCTGCCCCAAGAGGCAAGACTGGGTGGGTGGTCCACAGCTGTGATCCCAGGACTCAGGAGGCTGAGGCAGGAGAGTTGTCACAAGTGCAAGGCCAGAGTGAGTTCAAGGCTGGCCTAACTGTACAGTGAGACCCTGAATCAAAAAAGCCAAGAATAAATAAAAACAAACCCACTTGCAACAGAGCCCTTGGAAGGAACTAGACTAGGAACTGAGGTCACACCCACGAGGGAGTGCACAGTGGCCTCCCGGGTGATCTTTTTCCACCGGCTGGCCGTTTCCACTATGTAGCTCCAAGAGGCAGTGAGTGGTGGGTCCGGAGGATCACTGAGAGTTCAAGGTCAATGTAGGCCCATAGTGAATTCAAGGCCAGCCTGGACTACATAGTGAGACCCTACCTCAAAACACCAAAACCAAAACCAAAAACTAAAGATCACAAGGCGCGGTAGTACACGCCTGTAATCCCAGCACTTGCGAGGCTGAGGTAAGAGGATCACTTTGAGTTCAAGGCCAGCCTGGACTACATAGTGAATTAAGGACAGTAGCCTGAAGAACAAAGTGTGACCTTGTTTCAAAAAATGAAAAAAGAGAAAGGAAAGAAAGAAAAAGGGAGGGAGGGAGGGAGGGAGGAAGGAAGGAGGAAAGAGAAAAAGAAAAAAAGAAAAAGATCTATTGATCTAAGCTCAGTGGTGAGTGCTTGTGCTGGGCTCAATCCCTAGTGCCAAATGAAAGACCCCACAGGAGGATAAACGACAAATGCTTCCTGCACAAGGCAACTCCCAGGCTCACAGGGGCTACACTGTGTTCTACCCAACAAGCACCGGAGGCCATTCTGGGATGGAGAAAACCAAGGGTCAGAACAGCAGAGTGTCAGGGAAAGGGCTGGCCCTGGGTGAACTCCTACCCTTCAGGGGAAGAGGTGTGCTTGATCATGGGATTCAAGAGAAAAGGAGAAGGGCTAGGGCACATGGATCCACTAGAGACTTGGCTGAGGTGGAGAAGCTGGGAGCCACAGATGGTTCCGGAGCTGGGGAGAGTAAAAAACTGCATTTGACCTTCCCTCCCTGGGACCCTATCTATACCCGCTTACAGGGTAGAGTACTGTGACCCAGAGCCAGAATTAAAACCAGTATCTTGTTTGAGTGTCCTCAAAAACACCACAGGGGAGATGCTGTTACCACATCACAGAGTGGCTGCCACTTGCTCAGGATCACAGTGCCACTGCAGTATGTAGGATGAGCACTCCTGGCTTTCTGCTGCCTGTAAGGCCAGCTTGTGGCGGTGAAGACACATCCACATCCCTAGCTGAGGCCACAGGGCCAAATGCCCTCTCCCTGACCTGTCACCACCTTGGGCGGCTGCAGATCTCAGGACACATGCATTCACATGCAACCAAAGAACACTCTCACCCTCCCTCCACCCAGATTTTGGGCCTAGTGACTTTGCAGAAAAGACCCCAAGTCTCGGTTTGTGCCTCTAATCCACAGCTTCGGCACTCAATTCTCAACCTGCTGTCCTGTAATTCATCCTGGTGCAGTTACAAGGGTCAGGAACAGGAGAGCACCCAATAGGGAAGCCAGGAACAGGGTGGTAGAGGGAGCCACCTAGACTAGGGTCTTGGGGTGCCTGTGCACCGGGACAGGAGGGTTCATACACCCACCCACCTGTCCCCTCCCCAACTGCCACTGCTCAGAGTGCATTCCCAGGTGCAGCAGAATGCCAGCCCTCCATGTGTCCCCTTGTGTTGTGGACAAATGACTGAAAGACAGGGCTGGCTGGCCAGCTACCCCACCCACCTGGAGCCAGAGAAGGGTGACAGTGACACCAGAATCCCTGCAGCCCTCACCTGCCTCAAGGATGACAGGTGACCTGGCAGTTCAAGTACCCCGCACCCTTCTGTGGCTCTGTTCCTGGGGTCCAGCGCCCAGTCTCCTCCCCCAGCCTAAGCGTCTCTGCAGCCCCACCTCCAGCCCTGCCCAGGCCCCACCCCAAGTTTTAGAAGCCTGCTGATCACAGGTGGTCAGTGGGCAGCGGGGCAGGGAGGGGCAGCTGGGAAGGTGGGAGTGAGTTGGGGCCGGCGGGGTGAACCGTAGGGTGAACCGGGCGGTGGGTGTGTGCCGGGTCGGGCACTGCCCACCACCCACTCGCCCGCCCAGCAGCTCGAGGGCCAATGAGGATCGGCCAGCCTGATGTCACCCTGCGAATCTCAGCCCGGCTCTCTAACAAAGAGAACAATGGGGCGGGCACCAGGGGCCACTCCAACAATGCCGCTGCCTGGACCCCGAGCGCTGGGAAAGCCCAGGGCCGGTGCCCAAGGAGGGACATGGGGTGCACCCCGCAGCAGCTTCCGCAGGCAGGGCTTCTATCCGCACCAGATCCCCGTCTGGGTACAGCATGGGGCGCCCCCAGCCCCATCGGGCCCCTAGGCCGGCTCACTGACATGTGTCTTCTTTGTGCGCCCCACCCCAGATTTCGCTCCTCACCCTGTGGGTGCCCTCCCTAAGCCACCCCTAAAGCTGAGCTCGCCCCGCCCATGCCTGCTATGGGTGTGGAGTGCCCACCGCCCAGCCAGTGCCCGGGCTCCCCAGGGCCAGCTCCCTCTCTGGGGTGTCCCCGCAGACGCCCCGGGGGCCTAGGCAGCGGGAGCTTGGGCGCAGACAAAGGCGGCG